CTGCTTCGGCCTGCTGCTGCTCCTGCTTGAGGCTCTCCACCGTGGCGTGGCCTTCGTTCTTGTATGCGGTGGCGCGCTGCATAGCCCTCTTAATAAGGTCGACGTCGTGTGAAAAGGCTGGGAACGCATCATTGTTGTCCCCTTCCTGCTGGTCGGCGGCCATGTACTGCTTCTTGAAGGTTTCCAGCTGGGCTGGCCCGAGGAGGCCCTTGAGCGCGCCGCAGATGTTCTGCAGCTGCTGGTCCGGCGCCTGAGGGGCTCCTTCGCCTGCTGGAACGTCCTTCGCTGCCTAAGCGTCTCCTGTGTCAATAAGGTTGAGGTGGATCCCGCACCGAGCGCAGAGCGGGTCCTTCCGAGCAGGTGTCGCACACAACGTACTGGTTCTGCTCGCTGTTCGCTTTCTTGTTGTTGCGACCTCCACGGCCGTACTGCTACCAGCTGCCACCACAGCGCTGGCGCCACCAGGACATGGCGGAACTGCGGGGTGCGAGCAAAAGGCGGCAGGCGAATGCCACACGCGAAACTTGGCCCACTGTGGCCGTCCCTGAGCAAGGCTGGGAAGTTCAGGATGGGTTTAACCCCACCCTTGAGCCAAAATGGCTACGGCCCGTCTTCCTTCCCCTCCTCCTCCTCCTCCTCCTCCTCCTCCTCCTCCTCCTCCTCTTCCTCCTCCTCCTCCTTCTCCTCCTCCTCCTCCTCCTCCTCCTCCTCCTCCTCCTCCTCATCCCCCTCCTTCTCCGGCTCCACCCATGCCGGCGACGAGCACGACGAGGGCGGCGGCGACGGCGGCGGCGACGGAGGCGACGGCGGCGACGGCGGCGGCGACAACGGCGGCGGCGAAGGCGACGACGAAGGCGACGACGAGGCGGCGGCGGCGCAGGCGGCGGCGGGGGCCTCGGGGCGCGCGGAGCGCCCGCAGAACCGGTGCTGGCGCTTCCTGGGCCTGCCGGGCGGCAACGACTTCGTCTTCACGCGGCGGGCCTCGGCCGAGGGAGGGGTTCTGGTCGTCACTCCAAGCCTCCCAGATGGGGTCGTCGCTCCCAGAGATCCAAGGTATTGACACAGATCAGGACGGAGGTTTTTCGTGGTTTCCGGCCTCGAGGGGCCCTCGCCGGGCCCCGGGACCGTCAAAAAACGACTCAGGACGAGAAACTGGTCCTGGGGAATGGGTCGAGACCTCCGGGGACCCCGTATTGAAAAAATCACCACGTCGGATCTCTGGGTTCTAAGCCTCCTAGATGGGGTCGGAGTAAATGGGTCGGAGGATCGCACCGCATCGCCGATGCATCGGCGATGCGACGCGATGCGGAGCCCGACTTTCTCCACGCCGGCGTCGCCGATGCATCACCCACGTCGATGATGCATCGCCGGTGCATCGCCGGTGCGTCGCCGATGCGTCGCCGATGTATCGGCGATGCGGCGCGATCCTCCGACCCCATCTATTCCGACCCCATCTAGGAGGCCTCTAGTCATTCCCGCCTTCCTCCTCTACTCGGCGTCACCCCAACACACTTCTACTATATGTGCGTCGCCCCCCCCAGGGGCGACGCGCGTACGGGATCTCCGCCACGCCTCATTGAGCAGACGCGACAGCTCGGGGCCGCAATGGGCAGTTACGGTCTTGGCGCTGGGGATCTCGTTCGAGGGGGCGCTCTTCTCGCGCGATGGCGCGAACAGCTCGGCGTGCAGCGCGTTCGAGAGCAGCGCCAAGTCTTGCGCCAGGTCCTCCGCGAAGCACGGCGGCATGCCCGACCTGCAGCCCCTCCCGCGGCCCGGGGCGCCCAGTTTGGGGCTCAGCGCTTCGGCGGCGTGCGGCGGCGAGGGCCCGGCCTGCTGGGGGGCTCGCCAGGGCCGCGCCGTCTCGGGGCCCCTCGAGACCGAGCGGGCCCCGGCGGGCCGTGGGCGCAGGGCCAGGCGCGCCCGCACCCCGAGCCCCGAGTTGGCTCCCGCGTGGGAGCAAGGTCCGAAGCCCTCCGAGACGCTGCTGGGGCGCTCCGTGAAGCCCCGGGCTGTGGCCCTCCCCCCATCCGCCCTTTCCTCTTCTGTCCTGTCGTGAGTTTCGTTCTGTCGTCCATGCTGTGTTTAGCCCGGGTCTGCGCAGCTTGCATTCGTGTAAGTGTCTTTCAGATCATCGCTGGGTCGCGATCGGACGTCTCTTGCCCCCGGGCGGGTCGTCTTTCGTTCCTGGCCTCGGCCGCCTGCGCCCCCTTCTTTTTCTTTGGGCCCAGTGTGCCTCTTTCCTCGTCCGCCTTCTCCTCCTCTCCTCCTCCTCCTCGTCCTCCTCCTCCTCCTCCTCCTCCTCCGTCTCCCCCCCTCCTCTCCTCCTCCCCTCCTCTCCTTCCTCCTCCTCCTCCTCCTCCTCCTCCTCCTCCTCCTCCTCCTCCTCCTCCTCATTCTCCTCCTCCTCCCCCCTCTGTCCCTCCTCCCCGCCCGCCCCGTCGGCGACGCTGGCGCCGCTTCAGCGCCGCCGCCCTCGCCAGGCAAAACGTGGCGAACGCCAAGAGGAAGATCACAGCCGCGCGCCGAGCTCCCCAGCGGGGTGGGGGGGGAGGAGGAGAAGGATGATGAGGAGGAAGCGGAGCACGAGGAGGAGGAGAAGAAGCTAGGGAGGAGGAGGAGGGAGCAGGAAGAAGAAGGGAGGGGGGAAAAAGGAATGTGGAGGAGGCGGGGGAGGAGGAGGAGGAGGAGGAGGAGGAGGAGGAGGAGGAAAAGGAAGGAATACTAAAAAGGGAAGGGAGAGGCAGTGCGAAAGAAGGGAGGAGAAAAGTGAGGGAGAAGGGAGGAGGAGAAGGAGGAGGAAGAAGGAGGAAGGATGGAGGACGGAGGCGGGAGGGGCGAGAGAGGGGGGAGGAGGCAGATGTAGGCGTGCTCGCGCCATGTCTGCATCCCGACCCCTGCCTTTCATCCCTTACCACTGCGCCGCGCTCGTCCTGCATCCGCCGACCCTGGAGTTCCAGAGGGAGCCCCTGTCGTGTCATGCGCGCTTTGTGGAGGGGGACCTGCGTGCACTGGAGGAGAAGGCGGCGGACGAGCAGCAGGGCGAGCTGGAGGAGAGGCGGAGGACGGGGGAGGAGAGGCACGAGCGCGGACAGCGGCAGCAGGAGCTCGAGCGGAAGGAGGGGGGGGGGGAGCAAGCGGACCAGGAGAAGGCGCAGATGGGGGAGGGGGGGGGGAAAGGAGGGGGGCGACAGCGATGAGGAAGGGGTTCGGGTGCAGACAGATGGCCCGCGTTTCGGGCGAGAGCGCCAGGCTGAGCGGCGGGAGCAGAGCGCAGATCCTCACATGAGGCCTGCGCTGCCGCGGGAACGCCATCCTGGAAGGACTAGGGCGAGGAGGAGAAGGAGGAGGAGGAGACGGATGACAAGGAGGAGGAGGAGGAGGAGGGGGAGGAGGAGGAAGGGGGAGGAGGGGGGAGGAGGAGGAGGAGGAGGGGGTGGAGGGGGAGAAGGAGGAGGAGGGAACTGCTGGATGGGGCGACACAGCAGAAGAAGCACCTCGGACCAATCCTGCGTGCAAGATCCAATATGCGGGCATCACTCTCGGCACATCTTTGGGAAAGAGAGAGAGGGAAATTGTATTCATCTCGTGCATTTGTGCATGAGGAGGGACGAGGCGACAAATGAGGCGGAGGAGCAGGAGGAGGAGGAGGAGGAGGAGGGCGAGGAGGAGAAGGAGGAGGAGGAGACGGATGACAAGGAGGAGGAGGAGGAGGAGGAGGAGACGGATGACAAGGAGGAGGAGGAGGAGGAGGAGGGAAGGAAAAGGGAAGCGGCAACAGGGAAGCGGAGGGAGCACGCCTATTCTGACGTCTATTGCGAAACGCCCGAGCTGTGGGTCACGGCTGGGCGGCACCCGAATCCAGACTTGTCCCACCCCGGGAAGGGAGGAGGGCCACCCGCGGAGCCGGCGACAGTGCGAGAAGGGATTATGGGAGGGGGGGGGGCGGCTGATGGACAAAATACTGTACCGCCTTCGCGACCAGGGTGCTGGCGCAACCTTCAACACGCCCCGCTGCCCCCGATTCGAAGCGGGTTGGCACCGCCAGCGGGGCGAAGGACTTCGGCAGGTGGCCACTCGACAGACCGACGCACCGCGGCGCGGCCCGCCAATATTAAATCGGGGGCGCGGGGGATGTCCACAAAAATCAGCAGCATACCCAGACCCCCGATGTTGTTTTTTTGTTCACTACGTCGACCCCCAGAGGTCTGGACCCCTTCCCCGTTTTTTCGTCCGGAGTCGTTTTTTGACGGTCCCGAGGCCCGTTGAGGGCCCCCAGAGGCCGAAATTTGCGAAAACCTCCGATTTGTTTTTTTCAATACGTCGGATCTCTGGGATCGAAGGTGCAGGATTTTGTCCATCAGCCGGAGGGCTCGTCCTCCGAGGTCACGCACTGGAGCTGGGAGCCCTTCGACGACTGTGGCGCCGCCGGGGCCTCGGCCGCGTGCGCCGGCGCCTTCCGCCGGTCGTCGTCGTCGTCGTCGTCGTCGTCGTCGTCGTCGTCGTCGTCGTCGTCGTCGTCGTTAGCGTCGTCGTCGTTAGCGTCGTCGGCGTAGTCGGCGTCGTCGTCGTCGTCGTCGTTAGCGTCGGCGTTTCCGCGCGGGGCTTGGAGAGCAAATTTCTTGTCCTGCCTCCTCGTTGTCTTCCCCGTTTTTCCCTCTCTGCTAGCGTCCTGTTCGTCGTGCTTGCGCTTGCTCGCATGGGATGTTGGTTGCCATTTGGCTCGAGCGACGACGCGACTGGCATACATTTGAGAAGGAAAGGAAATTCGTTATCACGGTTATTGCCGCCATGTCAGTCCTTCCGTTTCCACCTAACCCCACAATTTTAGTTGGTAGCGGAGGCGGGAGGGATCCCAGCTCGCGATCCACGGGACTTGCGTTGAGTGCGAACTGGACGCGCATTCGCATTTCCTTCACTTTCCGCGTTAGTGCCACCTTCCGTTCCCTACGGGCCACTTGCCCCTGGGTGCTCACGGGCATGACGAGGCCCACGCCACACCGTGTGAGTCGCCGTGAGAGCACGCTTGCGCAGGCAGCATATGGATGGTTGTATGCAGGACGCCGTCGCATGTGGGCGCCACGACGCCCAGGTCCCTTCACAACCGCCCAGCAGTGGCAGCGGGACGCAATCCCATGTGTTGTGCCGCATGAGTGGGCCAGTGCTCGGATTCGGGCTGAGCGCTGGGGTGTTGACATACAGCCTGATAAGCACGCTACGCAGCCCGAGCGACGCACAGCTGGTTAATGTACATACCGATTTCACCACCCTTGGTTCTCCTCAAGGGCCTGAGCACCACAACGGGTGTCACAAGTCTCGAGCTGGCGTTCGTCCTTGTGCAAGTCTGGGCTCCAAGGCGCCTGCGCAGCTCTGTTCGTGGTGGAGCCTTACAGAGGATGATCTCCACCTTGGCGATCTGGGGCAGCATGATCATCCCCTCAGCTTTGCTCTGGTTCACCTGCATGATGCTTAGATGAGACGGACAGCAGGGTGGAGCAGGCGGAGGCAGAGGATACAACTTTCATCAGCCACCCGCCTTGTCGCCTGAACGAGAATCCGTCTACATATCCGTCAGCGGGTGCAAGATCTATTCGTTTGGAGCGTATTTGCTACTGATATGGTCAGTGCTCAGCAGCGCGCCGCCATCATCCTGAATATTTGTGGTGCCGCTGATGAATTAAGTCGCTTTGTGAACTTCACGGATATGGCTCAGGGAGGCAAAGCCGCTGGCCAGGCGGTCGACGCCGTCACTTGCTTCCTTGCGAACCTCGCCACCCCGTTTACCCTCTTCGGCGAGGAGTCGCGCTTGCAAGCCGCCCAGGAGCTCTTCGAGTTCTCGAGGCGGCGCAACGAGACCACCGATGCGCTGTTGCGCGCCACCCTGCGCCGCGATTCCGAGCGACGCACAATTGTGGAGCTGCGATGTCGTGGGAAGGCGACAGCTGGCTGCTCATCCGAGCGGTCCCCGTCACCACCCACCAACTTATGATGCTGCCCGAGCCTCGCGGCAACCGATGCCCATCAACTAAACCCGATGTCAACAGTCTCGAGCCCATGCTCTGGCGATTTGGTCGCATCGTGGAGCACTTGCCCAACATCATCGCCAGTGCCTGTTGTTCACCTCCACCCTTCGGAGGCTTCGTAGGCATGAGCAACGACGACTGTCAGCAACAGACGCAACAACAAAGCGGGCAGGGAGCTTACTTTTTGCATAAACAAGGACGCCTTGGACGGCGGGCGCTGCCGCCCAATCTGGCGTCGGCTGTGCCCCTGTCTTTTTTTTAGCAGGTCTCAGCCAAGCGCCTCGCAGCCGCGGGCCACCTTTCTGGCCGCCGCGGGGCGCCCCGCTGATGGGGCGTCAGGCTACCTCGAATACCAGAGCGGCGCCAGCTCTGACGCCTGCGCAGACCGCTCAGCAGTCATTGATTATTCGCCTGACCGTTTCAGATGACCACCCCCAGCTCAGATCGACGCCCAGCTCTTCCAGAAGATGGAGCACCGCAAGAAACAATGGAGACGCCACATGAACATGCCCGCAAGGACGGGAAGACGATTCATCGAGAATCACGGGCAGACAATTCATCGAGAATCACGGGCCTGCGCATTCGAGAAAATGGAGGGAGCTCAGATGCACAGTTTCCTTGCCATTCTGATCGACGACCAGGTCGATGCCATGTTTCACAGAGGAAATGAAAGGACCCATCGACAGAGGCAAGAGCCTCATGAATGGGCCACGGGGCCGTGACTGGCAGGCGCAGCATCTGCGGGTCGGAGTTCCGCTTCTGAGACGAGTGCCCATGGGCTGGCTCTGGAAGCTCAGGCGCCCAAGGAGGCGGCCCGAGTTTCGCCGGGCGCGCCGACTCGCGGGGCCCTTCGGCGGCCCCCCGGATGCCGGCCCCCTTGCCGGCCAGCTGGCGTCGTGGGACTTGCGCGGTCACCGGGTCACTTCCCGCGCCGCAGTCAGGGCCCGCGGCCCAGGCATATGTTTGCGTCGAGGGCCCGGCGATAACCCGGGTCGTCGGGCCCGCCCAGCCCCCCCCCAATATTAACGCGGCCCTGTCGACTGCGCGGGCCCGGAGGCGCGCTCGGAACCGGCGCGCGACGGCGCGCGCGGGGCCCCCGCGCGACGGCGCGCGCGGGGCCCCCCAAAGCGAAAAGACCATCGCGCGACCCCCCAGGGGCGTCGCCAAAAATTCAGAAGCGACTTCCAGCTGCCTCGCGGCCAGCTCCAGAAGGCGCGCGGCAGATGGCGCAGATAGCGGCTTCAGTTCGCGGCGCCTGCAGGGCGGCCGCTTCGCCCGCGACCAACCGGAGCCACGCTGGCCGACGCTCCCGAGGCCTCGCCGCGCTCCAGATCTTCAATCTCGCCGCGCCGTCGGCGCATGCGCACCTGCCAGCGCTGCGGCCCTCCCCTGGAACCGCCTCAGCGGTCGCGGGACCTGCGTCGCCGGCAAGTCAGGCCAGCCCCGGAGCAGCCAACGCGCAGGCTTGGGCCCCATTCGCGGCCCCAAGACGCGCCCCCCCCCCCCCCCCCCCCCCCCCCCCCCCCCCCCCCCCTCCCTCCCGCGAGTTCTACATGATGCAACAAAAACTACAGCGCCTGGGCCCGCGCGCAGATGGCCGAGCAACTCGCCGCCCCCGATGTTCGGCGAATCAAGATCCCGCATCTGCGCGCGGCCGCAGCCAGCTCGCCAGGCTTCGGGGGGGCCAGCTCGAGCGGGCAGCCTCGTCGAAGTGTTGACTGCAGCTGTCGGGGCCAACGTTGCTTATGAGCTGGCGCCGGAGAGAACCGCGCGCCCCCCGCCTTGTCCGGCCAGAGGAAACGGCGCAGAGCTCATCGTGCGCACCGCAGATGATCCGCAATGGAAAGAACTGCCGAATGCCGCGCCGGCGCGGCATTCGGTGGCGGCCACCGCCGTTGCGAGAGAACCCGATGACAGGTGGCGGCCTTGCCGACGTGGAAGCGGAAGGCGAAATCACGGGCGGCATCTGCTTGGGCGACATCGCAAACCTTGATTTGGTCATTACTTTGGAGCGCAGCCGTCGGTTCCATCGGGACGGCGCCAGCGCCTCCGCCGAGAGGGGCCCGCGCGGCAGCATTGCGGGCGCGGGGGCCAGATGCCGCCGCCGCGGGCAGGGCGGGTCGGCCAGCAGCCAGTAAGCAAGGATAAGTCGAGCGCCAGCTGCTGGCAGCGCCCCCAGGGCCCCGGCTGGGTCGGGGCCGCGGCAGGCTCGCCGCGCGCACTCGCCCCGTCTGCTGAGTGCCGCCTGGCGCGCCGCCACGCCGCTGCCGAAGCGCCCGGGGGTCGGCGCTCCGGCGGAGCCTCCGCCGCCCGCTGAAGGGGGTCGACGGCGTCGGGCGCGCGCCCCGCGCGGGGGGGCGCAAGGGGCCTGGCCAACGCGATCACGCACCTCTTAAGCCGTGCTGCCCCGCGATCGGCCCCGCCGTCGCCGCCGCCGCGACTCCCCGGCAATTCCTCCGACGCCGAGACCTTCGCCCAGTCCGGCCGGGCCGGGGAGGCGTCCGTGCAAGGACTGGCCCGGCGCTTGTCGCCGGCCGCGCGAAGCGCAGGCGCCGCCCGCAGCTCTCGCCGCGGCCGAGGCGGAGAACGAGGGGGAGGAGGTGCCCGCGCGGGACTTGTCGCTGGAGCCCGGCTGCCGCCAGACGGTCCAGCGTTTCTCGTTCGAGCGGCGCGTCGCCGACAAGACCCCCTTGTCCATCGAGCAGCTGGCCGCGCACGGCGCCCCCGCTTCGGGCGGCTTTCTCGCGCGAGGCGAAGCTCCGCGAGGTCCGACTGTCTCAGCAGCGCCTCGCGGAACGCCCCGCTCGGCGCGGGGCGGGCCCCCGCGGGGGCCGCGATGTTCGGCAGCAAGCTGCGCGGGATGCGCCGGGGCATCTTCGACGCAGATGACAGGGCCCATTGCCGGCACCTCTGGAGCTTGCGCGGAAAGGCCCTTGCCACAGGGGCGTGGGGCGAAGCCGCTCGCCGAGCCGGGCGCGCCCAACGTCCTGGGCGCCGCGCCGTCGGGCGCGGCGCCGGCCACTCGCGGGCCCGCGGCGCCGCGAGCCCAAGGTCGAGGTCCGGCTCGCGTCTGGGCTCGCGGCCGCCGCTGCCGTCTGGGCCGCCGCCGGACGAGGCGCGCGATTCAGTGGGCTGGATGCCGACCGCGAAGACGCCCGCCTTTCACCGGGGCTCGAGAGCCACGGCGCCTATAGGCTCTTGCGGACATAGCGCGCGCCCCAGCCGCATGAGCGGCGCGAAGGGAAAGGTCAGCGACAATATCGGAGGCAAGGGACGAGGCTCTTCGCCCGCGGAGCAGCGCCGCGCCTGCAAGGTCAAGAAGATGCGGCTGGGCGGGGGGGCGACCAAGCGCCGCCGCGAGGCCGGCTGCAACGCCGGCGCTGCAGCGGTGGCACCAGGGCCCC